CCCCCCCCCCCCCCCGTAAAGCCGGTTGTTAAAACACTTAGCGGCACACCACTGAATTGAGGCGACCTTAAGGACTTGGAATGTGTAATGTAATTGTACTGCTGAGCAGACTTCTCTCGTTTACTTAAAATGTGCAGGTTGATCAGGCAGTTCAGCTAGGAAATTCTGACACATTTTCAGGTTGACATGAATTTCAGTTCTTATCATACTGATGATGACATAATACTGTGACTATTGACTTCCTGGGTCCGTAAACATGGCTAGTGACTGACTTGTCTATCGTAGTGCTTAGCAGTGTTTGATGAATGACTGGATGAAGGCAACTGAACCAAATGGCTCTGATTTAATCCCCCCTTTGACTGGAGCGACTTATTCAGTTAAGGGGCTTGGTAAAATTATATTAAAACAAAACGTAAAACTCATTCTCTTTTTCAGGGATATTCTTTAACCTACGGAGAGAGTTTATTCTTCAACATAGCACTAATGTTTGTTGTTACATTAGAAAAAAAAATGATCTAACTGTGATGCCATACAGGACCCAGTTCCTTAAACACCCATATTTTGGTTCTGCTAAATTGGGATCTATAATCTATCTTGAATTAACTCTTGGATTATATTTTGTGTATAGCATAAGGTAGAAGTTTAGGGGCTTTTTTGTTTTGTTTTGTGACAAATATCTAGTACTTCTAACACCATTTCTTGAAAAGACTCTCCTTTCCCTATTGAATTACCTTGGTGCCATGTTATTAAAAATGAAATGACTATATGTGTGGATCTATTTTTACACTCTGTACTCTCTTCCATTGATATATTTGTGTATCCTTAGGTCAGTTAATTAGGTAGCTATATATCGTACTGTGGTTTTATAAAAATTCTCAAAATGCCTTGGACTTTTTTTTTTCCCCTACGATTATTGTGGCCACTTGTGGCAAATTGTATTTTCTTACATAATTGCAGCAATATCCGCCATTACACACAGTCTTTTATCAGTGTTACTTTG